AGGTCATGATTTGCTGATTTTGAGTCCTCAGCAATCGACCATATGGATCTATGTAATCTGTCAGCCCTGTACTATAAATTATCTTCCAAACATTCAAATCTAGACTCAAATTTGTGATCTGCTACCTTGGATGCTTCAATAATTGATTGAATGGCATTGTCCAATTCTTCAACCCTATCCTGGGTATTTTGCAGCATTGCATCTAGTTGCTGGGTAACATTGCCTATCTGAGTTTCTAGCTGGCTACAGATATTCTTTAGCTCCTCATGGTCTTCTGATAGCCTAGCCTCTAAGGCCTCAGACATGGAGGATCTCTCTGTGTTTATCTTATCATAAATATGCTGCATCTCATCAGACAGCTCTGTCTTTAGTGTATTGGACACAGAGCCAAGCTTATCATCCAATTTCTGTTCCACTTGCTGCACAATTGTGGTCTGACCTAATCTGTTCTCCAAAACCTCAGTGCGTAAAGCTGTTATTTCCTGTAAGTAGGTCTTGAGGTTATCCTTATCCCTATTCCTGAGTCCTCTGGCTAGTAATATTATTTGTACCAGCAAGCTAAATGCCATTACAGTATATAGGCCGGTAATTGGCACATTAACATCCTCCTCAAACAGTGAATTCACATAATAAGCAAAAATATTACCAATTTTAGCAAATGATAAATATTCTACCATAATTTTAACTGATTTCTACTCCAGATGTAGTAACTATATTTGACCAGCAGGTAGCACATGCGTTCAGTTAGTCCACGGCATTTTGCAGCAGTCGGTCAGCGGTGGAGAGAGGTCACAAAAGCAGCTGGACATGTATGTAAGCATTAATTATCCCTCATAGTGTTGAGGAAGCTACATAACATATTGTACATAATAGAAATGTATAAAGTATAGGGACAGGTGACACTCCTGATTCCTATGTGGCCTGGGAGGATAATGACCAGCATAGACCCCAGAGTGGGCTTGAGCTTAACATTGCATCCTACCCAGCCCCCTTGGAATCTGGATGGCCCTGAGTAAATACACTTTATAAATCTCAAATTGATCCTCTTTCCAGCGAGCTTTCTACACAAATTTGTTCAGAAGAGTGTATAATAGGGAAATTACCAATACGGAGTCAGGTAGAAATATAAGGGTATTTAAATAGGGAAAAGCCTTACTCACAGAGCGACCTAGCCAGCCGGCGTGGCAGCAGTCTGTACAGCAAGTACCAAAGTGAAACCGAAAGCGCAAACACAGTCATACTGCGTCACTCTGACCACGCCCTTGCCAGCGTGGTCAGGCACACCTGTAGCCAGCCCCTAAGTAGGCGTGGCTACAGCTTCCCCTACAACCCAATGTTAGCAAAAAAATACCTGACAGAAACAGCTTGAAAGGGGAAGACTTGCCAGGGCTCACAATTTTAGAGAGTCAAAGCCTGCCAGGAGGGCCAGGTTAGCCAGAGTAGCCACATCTGGGTGACTAGGAAGCAGAGAAAGAGGTCCCAGAGAAATGTGCTTTCTCTTTTGTTCCAGCTGGGCCCACATTCAGGGTGGTTTTTCCTCCTTTGTTTCCTCCTTGAGGACACCTTCACAGACACACCCAGTATGGCTTTACTCTTCTAGATACTCCCAATCCCATCAGGTTGGCAGTAGGTCCTGCCTACAACTTCTCCACTTGGGCACAGATGTCTTACAAAGATCCCTAGACTCATGATAGGGATGTGGGAATCATGAACAATCTCGAAATTGCAACATTGTAGCAACCCAAAGCAAGAATGGTACTACAGGTCACCTCATGGCAGGTGTGCTGATGGGTGGAAGCTCCTGCAGAGCTCAGGGACTCTAGTAGGTACTACATCCTCCAAAAGAGATCATTGTTTTATCTCTTTTGTACTGTGGGCTTGCCCAAGATTAAAAGTGACAAAGTAAATATTTAGAAACCACTGTCCATTTTTTCAGATGGGGAGCCTGAGTTCCTCTCAGGAGCTGTGTCCTGCCTAGAGTATTAGTATTAGGCCCAGGGGTGGGTTTATAAGCTTTGGTCTGAGGCCTCTCAAGGCATAAGATTTCTGGGAAGCAATGCTGGGTTCCTGGAGGGCCAGTGACCTCAGCACTGGGTTGAGGAGGGCCTGAGCTTTCCCCTTGTGGAGGGGTTTCTGGATCTGCCCTCTCTCTCTGCACAGGTGAAAGATTCAGAGGAATGTGTACTCAGAACCAATGTCTTCCCAAAAGATAATGCGAAAAAGTGGGCACACAAGCTTCCCACAAAGTTTGCTGGCTTCACTGTGAGTCCGAGGTTGATGTCAGCTCCCCCAGTGATGAGACACCGAAGAGAATCGGACCAAGAAAGGAGGATGTCTCACAAGGTGGGAGTGGGAGCATCCCTCCTGCTCCAACTGTCCAGCTCACATGTTTTGAACATGGCGTGTGTGTGTGTGTGTGTGTGTGTGTGTGTGTGTGTGTGTGTGTGTCTGTGTGTGTGTCTGTGTGTCTGTGTGTGTGGGGGGGGACAGAGTTCCTCTTTTTTTTTTTTGAGTCAGGGTTTCTGCCTGTCCTAGAACTCACTCTGTAGACCAAGTTGACCTTAAACTCACAGGGTTCTGCCTGTGTCTGCCTTCTGAGTGCTGGGTTTAAAGGTGTGTGCCCCCACCACCTACTGCCTCTCTATTTTGATTGCACTATAGCTAACACACTCTGCCTACTCACGCCTGGGGATGGCTGGCATCTCCAGACCAGGTCTGAGAGTTGAAAGCTTATGAATAGGACCTATAGAGAACAGTTCTAGAAGCCTAAATTGGATGTTAGAGCATGTTCTATGGCTTTAGTTCTTAAGATGGAGCCTCCTGGCCTTGGCCCTGGCCCTGGCCCTGGCCCTGGCCCAGGAGTGAGATATCAGGGCACCAAGTGCCACCTCTCCAAAGCTTAAGCTACAGTGCAGAAGGGAAAGATGCAGTAAGATGGTCTTCACCTCTAAGACCTGAAGACCCAGGATTGATTTGACAGCTCTGGTTTTTAGGATGTGGGAAGAGAGCAAGGTCTGAAGGAAGGTAACTGACCTAGGGCTTGTAGGAATGATGACAGTATCCCAACACTGAGTACAGGAGACCCTTGGGGTGCAGGGCCAGAGAGATGGAGGAAGCAATCCAGTTGCTTCTGCAGCTGAATTCTGATTTCTGAGACCCCTTGAAGGAGAGGCACCAGCTTTCCAACTCCCAGGTGTGGGGCAGCTTTGGCCAGCGCCAGTCCCAGGCATGGGGCAATATAGGCCAGCTCCAGCATGGTCTGCTGAGATGACTTTCTGCTGTGAGATTCATATACCTTACAGCCCTATGAGATGTGCTGGACTGTGAAGTGCTTGCACACCATGGCACTGTGAGATTCAGGCACTTGAGGGTGCTGTGAGATGAATATACTTTACTGTCAGACACCGGGCCATCTTTGATCAATTTAGGCCTCTGCAGTTGTATCTTGAGAAGAATGGGTGTTAGGCCCCTCTAGCCTCCCTTTTAGGACAAAGGGAGGGTCTACCCCAAAGGTGACTCAAGTCTCTGCCCTACAGAGCAAAATTGCTGATCACTAAAAATAGAAACCTCTCAGTCTCAGAGTATCCTAAGGCCCAACCACATACCCCACTGGCCTTTTTGCAGGATGGGGTCCCTATGGCTGCTTTTTTATCCCCTACTTCTGATCTCCAGGATGCATAGGAGGGAGGATGCCATGTGGCTACCAAGAGGCCATTTTTTATTTTTAGAAATATTCCAATACTCGGAGACTTGCATTGTCTAATGTGCTCCCCAGTAAACCATCCCATCCCAAAGCATCATTTCACAGAGATCCTCTAAAGAAAACGGAGGAATTATGGAAGAAGATACAGCTGCAGTCAAAAGTGTCAGTGGAGAAGGTGAGTTTCGCTCAGTTGGAGAGTGGGCAGCTGGGCTGGGCAGGGCAGGGGTGGGTGTGCCACATGGGCCTGGTGAATTTGGAATTCCAGAACAACTTGCTAAGGCCTGGTCAGGGGTGGGGCTGATAGAGAAATGGCTTTTCTAGAACCCACTGTTGGAAGTCTCTTTCTTTGCCTTGGATGGTATTTTTCAGTGTGTAACTGGTTTTCCTTTTTGGGCCACCAACCAACTCCCAAATCATGATGTGGAGACTCATTAGTATGAATGTTCAGCCTAGCTTGGGCTCATTTCTGGCTGGCTCTCTTTAACTTAAATTAACCTGTTTCTCTTTATCTATCTTTTGTCTCAGGGCTTTTTTACCCCCCCACCCCTCGTGTTTTACTTTCTTGCTTACTCCAGTGTCTGGCTGGTTAGTGGCTGCCTGGTTCTGGCCACAGGTGTGTCCCTCTCTTTCTCTCTTGTCCTCTCCTTCCCTTGTCTAGATTTCTCCTACTTATTCTCTCTGCCCACCAGCCCTGCCAATCCTTTCTCTGTCTAGCTATTGGCCGTTCAACTCTTTATTAGTCTAATCAGGTGCGTTAGGCAGGCAAGGTGAAACAGCAACACCTCTTTACATCATTAAAGAAATGCAGCATAAACAAATGTAATACATCTTTACATCATTAACAAAGGCAGCAGACAAACAAACGTAACACACCTTTACACAGTTAAAGTAATATTCTGCAACAGAAACGAGTGTAGCACACCTTTACAAAATTAAATATCCCACAGCAGTAGTGGGGTGCAAGCTGGGTTGATTCATCTGTGCTCATTTCTTCCTCCTGCCCCATCTCCGACCTGGAACCCTCACTATGATGCTTTTCTGGTTTCTGAAGATTTACGTCCTGGCTGTGATGTGGAACTGTAATATGAAATAAACCCTTTCCTCCCCAAGTTGCTTTTGGTCATGGTGTTTTATCACGGCAACAGAAATCCTAACTCAGTCACCTATATACCAGGCTCACATAGCTGAAGATGACCCTGAACTTCAGACCTTTCCTGCTTCTATCTTTCAAGTGCAGGGATTAAAGGTGTTTGCCACCACTTGGCTTACACAGTGCTGAGGATCAAACCCAGGGTCTCAGGCATGCTTGGTAGGCACTTTGCCAACTGAACTACATTCCCAGCCTTAGGTCATTAGCCTCTTAAAAATTTGATATCATTTAATTTTTATTACTGTGTATATGCTTGTCCACATGTTTATATGTGCACATGCATAAAGGTGCCCCAGAGGCCAATCAAGGGCCCCAAATTCCCTAAGAATTGAGTTCTAGTGGTTGCTAGCTATCCTGGCTTATTCTGAAAGGGCTACAGGAAGACCTTTAGCCTCTTGTGGTTGGAAACTTGTTGGACTGGGCTGAGGGTGCCTGGGAGCCCATTATCAACCCAAAAGCTCCTTCTACAATGAGAGGGGACTATGATTGGGGTTTGAGGGGCCAGAGCCAGAATGTAACAGGAATCGTGTTGGTTATCCATTCCTCTCAATCATACAAATCCTGCTTGGTCCTTCCTAGAGCCAGCCTCTTGACTATACACATCCTCACTGCCAATTACACATCTAGTCTTGTGCCCTTGCTTGGCCCACAATGCTTGGCATGTTGCCATAGGCCTACACACACTCTCCTCTGGCTGTTCTGCTACCATAGTACTGGCAGTGAGGTTTGGGAAGGAGGCCTCAGTTTTTTCCCCAATTCAGAAGTGAGACACGTGTGGTGTGGATGACGGTGAATCCTGCATGGTATCCTTTTACGGTCTCCGTGGGCACCCACATACATGTGCACACCATACACATATAAATACACGCATAAATAAAAATCAGCCTTAAAAAATCCTACAAAAATAGCGCAGGCATGCTGCATTTCCTTTCTTAGAAATTCTTTGCTATGCCTGTATGCTGTATATACACAAAGATAAGGTTTTGGCTTAAAAAATCAAACTAAGCATTTGAAATTGTAGTTTAGCATTTTTTTTTTTTTAAATGTCAGCATTCGGTGGATAACCTTTCCTGTCAGACCTCACATCTTTATCTACTTCATTCTTTTTACTAGTTTTGCGTAGGGACTGATCTAGGTTTTTGTTTTGTTTCTGCCTGAAACTTAATATAATTTGAGAGTCATCATTAAGGAAAGCAACACACTAGGTCTGTCAGGGCAGGCTTAGCATAATCTCTCCGCCACTTCCAGGATATGGTTAAGGTTGTAGATATGAGAGAATGAACAAGCAGAAGAGTTCAGAGCAGAGAGAGGAAGAAGTGGCAGATGCTCATGGCCAGGCCTAGGGAAGTGAGAGAGTGGGAGAGAATAGTAGATATAGCAAGACAGCAAGAAACAGACACTGGAGCATAGGGAAAGAGCAAGAGACTGAGCGAGAATAGTGAGCATCGCTGGGGTATGGGAGGGATGAGGATCTGGGAGAGGGAAGCCGGTGAGCTGGAGGGATTTTAGGTTAGGGAGGAGGTGAGAAAGGCCAGGATGCTGGCATGGACTCTGAAATGTGTAACAGGTGCTTGTGGTGCTGAGGGAGCCTGGAGGCAGCGTGGGCTTTGGTGTGCCGATAGGTGCCACAGGTAGCCATATGTCCCCTCTGCCAGAGGTGATGGAAATGACTCCCTTTGGCAGATGGCAACTGGTTTCACAAGTTCCTGAGGAATGCTGGCTTTTATCTAATCACCAGAAAATCTTCTATAGTTGAGTTTGAGCTCATTTCTGTATATTTGGACTGCCTTGGAACCGTCATTCCAGCCTTGTTGATGACAAGGTACAACACAGTATCTTCTGTGTAACTACTTCTCAGCTTGGAAGGTCATTGTGGTGGTACAGGAAGGCTGGAATGTGGGTCAAAGTCTGGGAGTGGGTAGGAGCTAGGGCCCAAGGGAGACCAAAGAGTAGACTTGGAGTCATCCCCTGGAGGCCATAGTTTATAAACCAGTTCCCTTTCACATCAGCTTTCAGCAAGTCCAGGCTTTCCAGGTCTGCAGGACCAGGTGGGGGATAATGAGGTGTAGGGCATTTTGGATCAGTTTGCAGGACTGAAGCTGATTCCTGGATGGTATCTGTCAGCTGTGTGGAAATTTTCTGGGACAGATATAGACTAGGGACAGAGGTAAAGTTAAAGAATTTAGGGGAAAATATTTGTCTTGGGTGTACACTTGACTCTCCCGGACCTGCAGTCCTGGTAGTTGGAGGGGTTGTGAGGAAGTCCCAAGACAAGGGAAAGGGAAGAGCCCATCCTCAGGGATAAGCAGTAGGCAGGAAAGCTTAAGCTCTTGACTGGCAAGAGTGCTTGTCAGCTAAGGGATCCCAGAGTCTGTTTGACCTGTGACAGGTGGATCCAAGTCTTGACTCTCTGAAGTTTATATGAATTTTCCTGAAGTTTACAAAAAGAGACAAAAGTTTTAAATATATTAGCATGACCACCATCTGTAATCTGCATCGAAACCCACATTGTACAAAAAGCAGATAACAAGTGTCTGTGAATAGCTGGAGTATTTGAGCTCATGCATTTGAGCCATAGGGAAACAAAGCCCGAGAAGTTACCAGCAGGATGGAAGCACATCTAGATACGTACAGATTGGACAGAGGTGTTTTCAGCACGAGAAACACTTTAATTTTATATTGAGAAAACAACCAAGGGAAACAAAAAATGTCAAGTCTGAGACTATGATAATAGTAGCCAGTGCTTTACCAAGGTTAGATTAACAGCTTATCTGAAACTCATTGATTACTGTGTTAAAACTTTAAACTTTTGAAGTTTTAACATCATATGTAATATCTCTAAATCTCATTTGTACAAATCTTAAATCACTTGCTCAGACCTTAACAACTTGCATAAATTTTAATTTTTAAAATGACCTATTTATTGTTATTTTTTCCTGTGCATTGTTGTTGTGTCTGTGTGACCATTTAACTCCAGATCCCTTGGAACTGGAGTTGAAGATAATTGTGAGCTGCCATGGGGGTTCTGGGAATTGAACCTGGGTCCTCTGAAAGAACTGCCAGTGGTGCTCAGCCAGTGCTGAGCCATCTCTTCATCCCTGAACTTGCATAAACTTTAAATGTTTTGTTTTCCTTTCATCTGGAAACATCCAGTCATTTACTATGAGGCATAGGTGTTGTAACCCAGGCAAACCTGGCCCTGCCCCTTTGGAATCTGGCACAGCATGCCACCCCTCTGTGCATGGCAGGCATTTGTACCCTGGCCCTTTAAGAGGAAAGCTCCACCCACTTCCCTCTTTCTTCTGTCATTTCTCTGAAGAGGCAGCTCTCTCTGTCCCCTCTGTCTCTGTCTCTATCTCTTCTCTCTTTCCTTCCCTTATTTTCTTACCCCTCCCCAATAAACTTTGCACATAAGCCACGTCTACAGGTCTCTTTCTGTTTACCACCTTATGTACAGATCTGATACTTTGAATAAAGTTTCAGGATACAAAATCAACATTCAAAATTCAATAGTGGATTGTTGAAACTGGCAGAGCAAAACATAAGTAAAGGCTTAAAGATATATAATGATAGGCAAGAACTTTCTGAAGAGAACCCCGGCAGCACAGGCATTAGCCTCAAGAATTGGCAAATGGGATTACATAAAATTAAGAAGCTTCTGTATGTCAAGCTATCAGTAGAGCATAAACACAGCCAACAGACTGGAACTTGCTATGTACACCAGTCTGGCCTTGAACTCATCCACCTATGTCTGTCTCCCAAGCTCTGGGATGAAAGGCCTGCACCACCATGCCCAACCTTTCTCTTGATGTTGGCTGGTATGTCTATTCCACTATTATCTGATAAGAAAATAAGTGTTTTTGGTCTTAAGACTTGCTTTATGTCCTAAATGTGATCTAAAGCAGCTGGGAGAAGTATTTTTTAGGTGCTCGTTATGTCCATTTGAACTATGATTTAGATGAACTCTGAAGTTTCTTTGTTGATTTTTTTTGGTCTGCTCTACGTGTTGAGAGTTATGATTGTATCTAGACCTGTCTGTCTCTTATGTCCAGTAGTGTTTGTTTTATGGATATTAGGTGTCCCAGTGTTTGTTACATATAATTGCATATTTGCAATTGTATTTTCTTGGTAAACTATCCCCTTTAATAATACAAAGTGAGCCTTTTGTCTCTTCTAACTAGTTTTTTTTTTTTTTTAATCTGCCTTATCAGGTGGGAGTCTAGTATTCCTGCCTGTTTTAGGTTTCCATGTGCCTGGTATCTTGATTTCCATCCTGTCTTGGTTAAGGTTTTTAGTGCTGTGAAGGGACACCATGACTGCACCAAGTCTTATAAGGAAAACATTTAATTGGGTTTTACTCATAGTTTCAGAGGTTCAGTCATTATCGTTACAGTGGGGAGCATGGAAGCATGCAGGCAGATGTGGTGCGGAGCTGAGAGTCCTGCATCTTGCAGGCAACAGGAAGTCGACTGAACAGTCACACTGAGGGAAGCTTGAGCAGAAGAGACCCTCAAAGCTCACCCCACAGTGACACCCTTCCTCCAACAAGGAGGCCACACATCCTAATAGTGCCACACCCTTTGGGGGCCATTTTCTTTCAAACCACCATATACCCCTCCCTCCCTTTCAGTCTCTTTGTGTCTTTGCTGGTGAGATGGTTCTTGTAGACCAAAACCAAACAAAGAGTTGGATCTTGTTTTAAATCTAATTTAATTGAAAAGTTAATACTACTTACATTTTTATTATCTTATTAATGTGTATGTATTTTTGTGAATGTATGCTTTTCACCTAGTGAGTTTCCTTAGGGTTGGTTACAGAAGCATGGGGGAGTCTGTTTACAGGACACCCTGCCAGTGGCTACACCAATGAAGAAAATGCCCTCCTCCTTTCAGATAACTATTTTCCATTCATGGTTTGTTCAGTATTTTCATGGTAAAAGGATGTCAATTTTTTTTTCAGGTTTTTTTCTGAATCAGTGTGCATTTTCTCCTTCCTTCTGCTAATATAAAATGTTGATTTATTGGCTAAACTCATGTCCTCAAATGTGCATTCATTCTACCACTGAGCTCTACCCCAGGTGCTGGTTGGTTTTTGATTGTTATTTTCAGGGATAAATCTCATCTGGTTGTGGTATATTACCCCTTTAATATGTCACTGAGGGTTCTATTTTTTTAATCAGTGTTCGCCAAAGCTGTCTGGTTGTAGTTTTCTTGTGGAGTTTCTTTCTGATGTTACCATGAGAGTAATACTTGATTTATAGAGTGCATTTGGAAGAATTCTTGCCTCCTCCTCTCCCACCTCTCCTTCTTCGACCTCTTTCTCCTTCTCATCCTTCTCTTCCGGGAAGTTTGAGAAGGACTGGTATTGCTAGTTCCTTAAATGTTGGGTAGAATTCACCCACCATTGCCCTCAGGTTCAGGGTCTAAAGGATTTCTGTTTCTTTTGATCCTTGCACCTGGGTCAATGGGACGAGGATTGAGCGTCTTGTTTAGGGCTTCTAAACAAGCAGGATACTCAAGAATTTTGGAGCTGGCCAGTAAATAACCTCACACCCATGGACATGCAAGCAACCTCAGTTCAACTCAATGCATTATCTCTTTCTCCCCCCACCCTTTTTTCCCCCTAAGACAGCATTTCTCTATAGCCCTGGCTGGCCTAGAATTCACTAGGTAGATTAGGGTGTCCTCAGACTCAGAGATCTGTCTGCCTCTGCCTCCTGAGAGTGTGTGCTACCACAGCTTCAGTGGGCTCTCTTAAAAAGTGTAGAAGCAGGAGGGAGGTGTGTTGGGAACAGAAAGGGTCCAGAAGGAGTGGGAGGAGTGTAAGAGAGAGGAATTTGGGTATTATGAATGTGATCAAAATATACTATATTCATGTATGAAATTGCCAAAGAAGAAACAAACCATTTTTAATAAAAAATGTCAACTTGGAATAGTAATAGCAATTTTTTTTTTGAGATAGGGTCTCATTATATAGCTCTGACTGTCCTGGAACTTACTATGTAGACCAGGGTGGTCTCAAACTTACAGAGATCTGCCTGCCTCTGTCTCCCAAGTGCTGGGATTAAAGGGGTGTATCATGCCCAGCTAGGAACTAATTCTTAATTAGGTTTCTCATTAGATGGCTTAATAAAGTTTCTACTATAGTAAAGAGATACTGCTAGTTTCTGAGGTAAGATAAAAAGTTCAAGGTGCTGGGCTGGTGAGATAGCTCAGTGGGTAAATGTGCTTGTCCTCTGACATTAACATGGTCACTTTGCTGTAAATACATTTAAAGGAGAATGAGTTAGTTCTCCATGTCACATTGAGAGAGTAATAAGACTGGGAAAACTTGAGATGAGTGAGGCAAACTTATGTGTCTTCTTCTATATACTCTGGTATCAGGAGCCACTATAGGTACTGAGGGCAGTGATTAACAGCAACAAAAAGACACCATTTCCTGCCTTCACATAGCTCACAGACCCTCGTTCTTGCCAGGAAGCAAGGAACATCTTGGGAGCCTGGGCATCAGTTGGGTGTGGTGACTTGTCTGGGTCCATTAGTAATGTGTAACTGTGGCCAGGGGAAGCCACTGCTGAGCCAGGTCCACCCCTCTTGTGCAGATCATTTTTCTACAGACCAGGCCTCGCCTGCCACACACAGCTGCCATGCTGAGCAGCTGCACCAATGGCTTCATCTATGCCTGGTCCATCCATGGGAATGGAGGCCTGCTGGGGAAGTTCCCTGTGGACCTTGAAGAGGATGAGGATATTGTTGTGGGTGCCATGGCCACTGACGAAAACGACTGGATCCTCATCACAGGGGACAGTATAGGAAATATCAAGGTGAGGAAGGACTGGAACAGTCCAGCTTTTGGCCATCCCTGTGCTGCCTGTGGTCCTGGTCTACCTCCTGCTCCCATTGGGTCCTGGTTTCACGGGAGAAGGTGGTAGGGGCAAGGAAAGTTACTTAGGAGTCTTCTGATCTGCCATGGTCAGTGAAATGAACCAGGGCTTGTTGAAAGGGTCTTTCAAAGTTGCTCCCCTCCCCAGTGGACCCTATTATCCATCATCTGCCAGCCATGTGTCTCATTTTTGAACAGCTGTCTCACAGTTGATTTTGTACTCTTTGATGAAACATGAGGCATGAGTGCCTTGTCCATCTAAGCCACTCAAAACCCCTTTGCCTGCTAACCAAGGGTGTGGCTCAGAAGACCCTATGGCCCTGTAACACGAAAAATATAATCCCAGAGACTGATTTTGGGGTTCGAGCTTCAAGCTGAAGATAAGAAAAGCAAAGCAGCTGGCCACAGCTCTTACCTCTACCTCAAGCTGAAAGGGCTGTCCTGTCCTCAGCGTGGCTGGAGAATAAATCTCTGAGACTGACTTTGCTTCTTCCTTATATACTCCCTCTCTGCCCAGTCATTTCACTCCTGTCTCCACCTCCCTAGTGCTGGAATTAAAGGCATGTGATCCCAAGTGCTGAGATCACCTTTGTGTGAGTTGTTTCTCTTAAGACTGGATCAATTTTGTGTAGCTCAGTGTGGCCTTGAATTAACAGAGATCCATCTACCTTTGTCTGCAGAGTCCTGTGATTAAAGGTATGTGACACCACTGCCTGACCTCTATGGCTTGTGGCTGGCTTTGCATTTTGATCTCTTTATTAAATCATAAACAATATATCACCACATTTCCCCTTTTTTGTTTAATAAAAAAATGAAAGACTACAAGCAACATAAGAAAAATTATATACAATAAGTACAATAAGTATATACAATATATACAGGCAATAAGTATCAACAATGTCTAGTCCATTTGCATTTGACAAATTTAGAGAAAATACTAGACTATCTATCCTATTTTTGTGAGTCCAAAGTCTTGTACCTAATTTACTTTCTGTTCTAATTTGCATTACCAAATTATCTTTTAATGTCTCTCAACCTTTTAACACTTTACATATCTTTAGTGTGTTTCTTTTCTGAGTCTGGTAAACAATGAAAATTGTAACTATATTATCTAGTCTTCAACTCCCTCAGAGACCCGAGAAGGAAATAATATTAACTGAGTAAACAGGAAGTGCAAGCAAACAACTTCCAAAAATGTGAGAAATGACAGAAAGAGCTGGCTGCCTGGACAGTCACCCAAGGTTCCTCTGCAACATTGGGGCATCCATATTCTGCCTAGATCTAGCATATCTGACAGACATTTCTGTGAAGCAGGATATTCTGAAAGACTGTCCCACCTTGTTTTGGCAAGGTTTTCAGTCACTCTTTTTGGTGTTCTGTTTGCCCAATTTGGACAGCACACTGTCAGCAGTTGAGGCAAGGGCACTTTCTTGCCCAGCGGCTTACCTTTGCCACAAAGAAGCATGTGGAGTTTATTTGATGCCCATCATCTTCTCTGAAGTAGATTGGTATTGCCAGGAGCAGATATTTCACTGTCATAAAAAAGAACCTGTGTTATTAAAACATCTTAAATGTCATATTCCATAGATCCCTGAAGTGTTTGAAGATGACCTGTCTTTCTAAAATATATCTCTGTTTGACCTTGAAAACATACCTAGTGTGATTACAAGTTCGATTGTAGTAGGTGACTAATTACTAACTTACATTTCCTTGTTGTCTTATATAGCTGGTAATAATAACTTTCAAGGACCAGAAATTTGCATTACATTGTTAAATGAACTGTATCGGTACATTACCTTGAACAAAATTAGAAATATATGTACAGTATGTCTTAACAAAATTAATCTCAAATTTGTATCAATATATAATATTTATATACAGCATACAGAATAAACCCAATCCAATGTAAAATATTTAAAACTAGTAGTTGCTTTTTAAAAGTAGATTCAATAATCTACCCTTTTATCTTATCATATCTACATAGCCCCTCTGTGGTGGGGCTATATAGTTAGTTTCCACAGACATGTAATGAATCACTCCCAAAGCTCAAAGGAACAGTGTGGGAGGAACCCACACATGCTCTGGGGTTGGGGCCAGGGCCACTAACTCACACTTTGTACCTAGATCTGGGACATCAAGGATTACTGCTTATTTGTTGGCCAGAGATCAGTCCATTCCAGTGGGATCAAGATCTCTACTGAAGAGGAGAACAAGTTCCGGTTCTTAATTCCTCAACAACTCCAGGCCCGCTCCCTGCACTACATCCCCCAGACGGAGAAGGAGGTAGGAAGATGGCAGGAGGGTTGCTTGGGAAAGTTCCACTAAGGAGCCAGGACTGTGGTTTTTCATGGACATTATGAGTCTTCATGTTCCCTTCATGGTGTCTGGCCTGCATGGAAAAAAATCTGTTAGTCAGATGTCATCATTACTACAGGTGCCAGGGGCCAAGTAAGCCCACAGGTATTCATCACACATGTACACACAGATATGTGCCTACCATCCCTTCCCACACATGTGAGGACCCCAGAGTCATGAGTTTAAAGTTGAAATATTATGTACTTTTTCAAGTAGTCAACACTTATACGTGGTTCAAAGTACCAGGGCCTCAGGAAATCAAGTATCTTTCTTTAGTTACCCAGAAAAAACAAAACAAATGGAAGTGACAGAGTGATGCTACTATATCCTCACTAGGGTGACTGAAACCAAAAAAGGCACAAGCCAAAGTCTGTAGGGAAGCCAACCAAGTGGAACAGCCCCTGGGGGCAGGCATTGGCAATTAGTCACTTTGGGGTATTATTTGACAATAGCTATGTCGTGCTCAGATGACTAGTTTTAGCATGAAGAAATTGCACTGCATCCATGTGTGCTGGGAATTGGCCCCTCGTGGATTCAGTACATGAGCAATATCTGATGTTAACACAACCATACAATAGTGACATGTTTGCTTACTGTGAGCTGTGTTTCCGCCTGTGGTAAGTGCAATGTGCCCTTGGTCCCCTCAGAGGCTATGAGGAGTGATACTTTGCTGATGAGGGGGATGGAACAGAGATGCCAGCACTCACACTTAAGCCTATGGAGCTTCTGGCACTGGGTTTGAGATTAAAACCAAATCTGCCAACTTCAGAACCTGCTCAAGCCTGTGTGCATTCTAATGAGGCATTTAAAAGAGACTGTGGTTGATGTTTTGCACAAGTAGATCATCATCAAACACTCTTTTCACTTAAAATTTTTATTAATATTATTTTATCTGAAAATCGAAATGATGCACATTTATAGGGTACAGTGTAACGTGTTTACAAAGGAGAATGACAGTTAACATATTCATCACCTTACTTATTTTTGTGATAAGACATTTGAAGTTTACTCTTGGTTATTTTGAAGAATATATTATTGATTATAGTCTTGGCTATTTTAAGCATGCAGCATTTCGTTGTTGGCCTTATACAGTAAATCTCAAAACTTATTTCTTCTGTCCAACGGAAACTTTGTGCTCTCTTTTCATATGGATATTTTAATTAATTTTTAGTTAGCATACAGAATAAGCTTCATGATATTTCCCCACATGATTACTATCCTACTTTGCTTGTATTGCACCCCGTTAGCTCTCTCATCTGCCCTCCCTGCCCCAATTGCTGGTTTCCTTCTTTTACACCAAAGTCCTCCTTCTATCATTTTCATGTCATATATTAATGCATTTATGTGTACATGTGTAAGTATACACGTACAGTTTTAAAGATTCCACATACAAAGAATCCTTTAACTAATACCTCGTCATTCTATACATACATGAGGTTATGTGGTATTTGACTTATATGACAAATGACAGCCTTTCTTTTCTTTCTCTCATCTATCTCTATCTATCTATCTATCTATCTATCTATCTATCTATCTATCTATCTATCTATCTGGTTTTTCAAGACAGGGTTCCACTGTGTAGTCCTGGCTGTTCTAGAACTCGCTCTGTAGACCTGGCTGGCCTGGAACTCACAGAGATCCACCTGCCTCTGCCTCCTGAGTGCTGGGACTAAAGGTGTGCCACCACCACTGCTCAGCTCTAATTTTTTACTGTAAAAAAAGAAGTGGTCAAAATCTGAGGAAGACGTGAAACTGACTCAGTAAGAGATAGGAAATGTGGAGACACGGGACATCTGAATAAAGCAGTTAAAGGGATGGATTAGCGATGGACCATCTCACAGAGGCATGCAGAGACACAAATGCTCAAGGTTGAAAATATAAATGACAGTTCTGCACAAACTCTTCTAAGAGTTTTCTGTGAGGCCAGGATTACTTTGATAGTAACTTTGATGCCAGCATATACCTCATGAGACATTGTCCCCAAAAACCTAAAAGCCAAAAAAACAAAAGACTAACCAACTAACCAACCAACCAATGCCCCCAAACCAAAACAAATAAAAAAAACCCCAAAAAACAAACCTCTTAGTGTTTATTTTAGTTTCAGATGTGATAATGGTTGCTTTTCTTTTGGCAGCCCTCTGTGTATATGTTTGAACCACACCTCCTGACACTATTCTCACCCACTCTTGGGATGGTTTCTGAGCTTGCTGCTGTCTCTGACTGTTGGGTTAGTTTGCAGTAGTCTAATTGTCTAACTTCCTATTCCTGACTGTAGCAGAATAAATGCTCCTTCCTCAGTCTTGTTTGATCTCAAAATGGTTGGGGCTTGGGCGACAGCTCAATAGATATAGCACTTGTTGCTCATGTGTGGGGACTGGAGTTTGAATCCCAGAACCCATGTAACAGCTAGGCAGGCATGGCATGGGTCAGAGACTGGATATCCCTGGGGCAAGCTGGCTAGCTAGACCAGATGGGATTATCAAACTCTGGGTTCAACCAGAGATCCTGAGAGATGAAGGAGGGCACCCGAGGTCAACTTCATACCTCCACCTGTACCATATACATGCATGCGCACATGTATGCATGTGGGCCAAACACATGCAAGCATGCATTACATATGACACCACATACACACGCACGCATGCACGCACGCACGCACGCACGCACGCTCCTGGTTGCGTCCCAATTATATAGAGTTTTTTTCTCTCACAGTGTAGTGTTTTTCCTAATGTGATGTGTCACCAGCCACCTCTTGACGTCTGTTCTTCCAGTGCTCAGCTGAGTTAGAAGATGTATGTGCTTATGCTCTTGTCCCATTACTTTCAAGATCTGTGGCTTCAGACTGATTTCTGAATATCTCTGATTCTGTCTTCTCAGTAAAGTGGTGAACATGCTCTATGGCGCATGAGTATGAGGTTGTGGGGTTCCAATGAGATGGTCTGTGAAGAGGCAAATGGAGAATGATTCTGATGGCTTTAATAAAGGGGCCCATGAGGCCAGAGAAGTGCTGAGACCTACTAAAGGTCAGCCACAACAGGTAGTTCATTGGCTGATGTCCAGGTACCCTCCCCTGGACTCTGCTGCTCTGGGTAACTGCTGGGTAACTGCTAACAAGTCTGAGTGATAGCATGGTTTAAGTCATTCTCTACTGCCCCCTACAGGTTGTGGAAGGCCAGACCATTTCTCTGGTTCCCCCACCACTTCTGATTACCTGGCGTAGCCACCTGGAGAATGTGGTAGATGTCCTGTATGTGGACATCTTCCAGCTGGTTGTCAGTGCCAGTGAGGATGGGGACGTCAAGATTTGGAAACTCTCTGGTGATATCATAGGTATGGGCACTGCTGAGACATGGCCTTTCCTGTCCCTGTCCCTGCCCCTGATGGAGCACACCCCTGACACCCTGTCTGAGGGGAGAAGGCTCTTGCAGCTGCCCAGAGAACCTTGCAAGATGTGAATTTGTCTGGTTGCCTACTATCCATCAACTGTCTTTCCATGCATTTACTCGCCCACCCAGCTTTGCTTGTCTTGGTGAGTTTTAGAAAATTTGTATATTTGGTAAGCTCTGTTCTTTTCTGTCCTGGTGTTATATAAAGAAGCTGTAGCTGTACTACAAGCTCACCAAGCAAAAGAGGCTGCCCAGAAGGCAGTGAACAGTGCCACTGGGGTTTCATGTTTAAGTTGATCAGAGGCCATGAAAAGAAACTTGTGCTTCACCGAAGAAAAAATATCTAAGCATTGAAAAATTTAAATATAATGAAAAAACATTGCAAAATATAAAATAAATAAAAAGGAAAGGAAACTTTGAACCTTATGTACCGAGCAAATGCAAGGTCTAGCAAACAATGCTAGTCCTAGATTACTTGATTTAAAACAACAAAAAATACAAAAAAATAGTAAAATATAAAAACAAATTTTATAGACCCTGGGAAAAGAATTTTCAGCAAAGTACAAAAATTTAAAGCATTCCCTTCTTTAATTTGGTAATTCTTTACTGTGGAATAGCTTGGGATGTCAGTTCTGTTTCAAGTAGCAGAACTGAAGACTGAGCAAGGAAATGTACTTTGTATTATAAAATTCTTGCTTTAATAAAAATTCCTTAAACAGTGAAAAAAGAAAAGGAAAGCCCAGAAACTCAAAGTGTTCTACTTTGAATTTCTAGAGTGTACATCCATCTGTCTGTACACTTTGGGAAGAATACACCCCTGGGGGTCCCTTCTCATCCCTACCTTGGCTGCTATGTGTGTGTGTTACAATTATTCCTTTATTGAGGGAGGCACATGCCATGGAAGGTATGCAGTGGTCAGAGGACAACTGTGAGAGACAGTTATGTTCTTCTACTACGTCCCTGGAGTGAAACTCAGATCGGCAGGCTTGGTGGCAAGTGCCTTCACCCACTGAGCCAGCTCGCCAGACCCTGACACTTTTTTTTTCTTTTTCTGTATATGTGTAGGTGTGTTGTATATACAGGGTGTACAGGTGTGTGCATGCAGAGGTCAGAGGTCGACATTGTGTAGGCAAGAGGTCGACATTGTGTCTTCTTCAGTCACTCTCCACCTTATTTTTTGATACACGGGCTCTCACTGGACCTGGAGCTCACTGATTTGGTTAGGCTGGCTGAACAATGAGTTCAGGGATTCATCTTTCCTGGCTTTAAGTATGGGTGGTGGCAGTGTTAACTCAGTCTTCAGGCTTCTGTAGTAGGCATTTTACCAGCTGAGACATCTCTCTGGACCTGTATTCCTTTTTGTTTGTTTGCTTGTTTTTTTAATGACAGCTTTTTACTATGATATCCCAGGCTTGCCTTGGCCTCTCAATCCTCTTTCTTGTCTTTTCCAGTGCTGGGTCCCAGGTGGGGGCCACTATCTCTGGCCTGGTTTCTAAGCTCTGATTGTTTCTTCACTTTGTACATATGGGATCATGTGATGGGCTCTTCTTTGTTTCTGTTTTCTTTCTCTAAACGGTCTAGCTGTGAAGTTTATCCACAGCAAATAACATGCTTAACCCATGTTACTTTTTCTAGCTATTTTGCATGATTGAGAATAATACTCCTATATCCTCTAGAAACACTCTTGTAACTTTTTTTAAATAAACAAATATATTTGTTCCTATTGTATGTATCTAGAGATTATTCTTAATCAATGATATATGTTTTCTTCTTGGTTTCAGTTGCTATTGCCCCGTGGTCTTTTGAAGTGGTTCCAAATTCCTGTTCTTTCATCAGCCAAATATAAAAACTCTTTGTCCCAGCACTTTGCTAAGTTAGCTACACTTACTGAGATCCCTGAACTCTGTTATCCTGCAGTGTCTCCCTTCTTCCCAGTCCTGGTCTCTGCTTTCTTTCTTTCTTTTTTATATATATATTTTTTTCTGGTCTCTGCTTTCTGTCTATGAGCCTGACTATTTTAGATACCATATAGCCATGAGATTATGCAGTTTGCCTTGTGTCTGGCTCATTTCATTGGACCTTGTGTTTTTAAGGTTCATCTCTGCTGTCATGGTCACTGAATTCCCTTCTTGTCTAAGGTTGAAGAGCATACCATTATAGGCGTGTTGTCTGAATCCATCTGTCAATCCATGCTTTGGTTGTTTACATGTTTTGGCTGCTGGCAGTAATGAGACTGGGGGGGGGGTAGAGTGGCAAATGATCCTGTTTTCAGTGCGTGCGTGCGTGCGTGCGTGCGTGTGTATAAAAGGGGAAAGGTCTCCTTATGTAGGCCAGATTGACCCCAAATTTACAATTCTCCTGTTTCTGCCACCCAAATGGGTTAACCACATGCTTTTAATTCCTTTAGGAAAATAACCAAAAGGGGGTGGCTGGATTGAATAGAAGTCCCAATTTCAACTTTGAGAAATGCCACATCACTTTCTAGACTAGTTATCCAGGTTTACATTGCTGTAAGGGTTCTGATCTCTTTGCATGTTCCCTGATGCAGAGAGATGCCTGTTTCCCACCCTTCTGATAACAGCCCCACTAATTAGTGTGAGGTGTCTTCCTGTTCCCTGTGTAGAGGTGCTGAGCATCTTCCCACAGCCTGCTGGCCATTTGTATCTCTCATTTGGATAAATGTCTGTTCAAGTCCTTTGTGCATTTTAAAATCAGGTCTTTTTGCTATCAGTCTGGAGGAGTTATATATTTTAGTGGTTAGCTTGTCCCGTGTTAGATATATGGTAAGGTAGCATTTCACCTGCCCAGAGGCTTGTGCAGAGCTCTGCTTGTCTATTTTTGCCTTTGTTGCTTGTGCTTTTGGTGTCCCGGCCAGGGAGTCATTACTAAGACCAATGTTTAAAGACTTTCCCTGGTTGTTTTCTTAGCTTGCTAAGATGTCTTCTTGTGTGACGCATGTGCTCATGAATGTGCACATGTGAGTGCATGCATGTGGAGATGTCTTTTGAATCAGACTCTTTCCCTGACCTCGTGTTTGTAAGCTGGACAAGGCTGGCTGGCCAGCAAATCCCAGGGTCTGCCTGTTTGAGCCTCACCATTGCCAGTGGGGTTTAGCACCACACCTTTCTGCATTGGCTCTGGGGATTGAGCTCTGGTGCTCATGCTGATGCAGTGGACATTGACTTTATTGTTTTGCATTTCTGTTTACCAAGTACTTTTCTTTTTGTTATTGTCTGGCTTTGGTATCAGAGTAATGCTGGCTGCACAAGTTTCTTAGACTCTTTTGCTGTTTTCCTGTTCTTCCTGCACAGGGTTAGGGGACCAGTCTGCCTTAGGACAGGGGTCTTAGAGGAGACTTTGAGATAAATATGTTTGAGTTCCAACTCTGGGGATGTTACTCAACTTGGGGGTGAGTCACCCTGCTTCCAGAGCCAACTTCTTAGTGAGCTCAAAATGATAGTTTACCACATACATTTCAAAAACAGAACACAATGAGATTTTTCTGGATGTTGTGTAACTGATTTGTGAAGACTGAGTTGGGATTATTTTCCCTGAGTGTGTGTTTTTTTCACCTCATTCAGCTGGGTCTGAGCTGGAGGGGCTGGAAAGCAGATTTGGGTAGACTCAATTTACCTTATCTTTGGGTATTTCAAAGCAGAGATGTCCCGGCTTCTTCTTGGGAGGCCCTCCCTCTTGATCTCATCCTAGCCCAACCCCTAGTGCTCAGCGCACCTCTAACAGGACTTTTGTGCATTTAGGACAAGACTCAGTGCTGCTGGCTGCAGGGCTGGCAGGAGCTCAGCTGGTCCCACAGCTGCATCCATCCTTCTGTCTAGGCCAAGCTTGGTTCTTACACAGCTTGGACCCACACCAGGAACTCTTGGAGAAGCAAGTGACTCCCAGACTAGGGTTTCTTGCAAACTTCCCTGTCTGTCACTTTAGTTGCTCTCTTATTGACTGCTGGAGCTCTTTGGTGATTTCTCCAAAATGGCATTTTACAACCTGTATCTTTTCTTTCTCTTAATTTAATAATTCAATAGCAGGAGAATGGCCAGTATTTATTTATTTATTTATTTATTTATTTATTTAGTGTGTGTGTGTGTGTGTCTGTGTGTGTGTGTGTGTGTGTGTGTGTGTGTGTGTGTGTTGGTGGTTTCACACATGGCATGGCATGCCTGTGCTACTATATACACGTGGAGGCCAGAATTCACAGAAATTGGTTTTCTCTGTACCACATCAGTTCTGGGGCTGATTTCAGGTCATCCATGCCAGGACCAGAGCAGGACACTGATTTCTCTGTCTTCTGCTCCACTCCAGATCTCACCTAGATAGATTCCCAGTCATTTTATGCCCTTGTCATTTCACACATGAGCTGCTGGGAATCTGAATAGGGGTCACTGGGCCCTCATCATAGTATTCTTCCCATTTCAGCCTACACATGGTGCAGGATGCTTTAGGCCTAAGCTCCAAGTACCTGCTAGGATGGAGTCTGGCATATCTAGATATTTGTTGTTTAGTCAGTATAATGCCTGGCACATGGCAGGCACTGCATGCTTGGGTGAGTGGGTGGGGTGGAGCACAGGGCCACTCACTGCCTCTTGGAGTGGAGGGGCACAAGCAATGGCTTCAGGAGTCCTGGATCTGAGCATGGTCTGCTCGCATTACAGGAACGTTGGGCCTGAATATGTGGAAACGACTGAAGGAGGCCACGATGATTGAAGATCAGGAGCAGGAAGCAACTTTAGAGGAGAAGCCCGACTTCATGGGCACCACCCTCAAGAAATCCTTCTTGGAGATGCAGTGCGTCACTGTAGCCACCTGGGGCTCCCTGGCTCCCAGAAGTCTCTCACTGGGGTGGGGTGAGATGCTTAGGATCTGCAAGCAACCTGTGGCCCTATTTAACCATCTCAGAGGCAAGAGCGAGCAGTCAGGAAGAGCCCTGCTCCTGAGTTAGATTGAGATCTGCAGGGCAGCAGTGGCATCTGCAGAGGTCATTACCATGTGGCAGGGTGCTGCCCATGCCAGTACCCGAGGTGGTGGTCCTGAGCAGATGCTGTGTGATGCCTGGGAGAGAGAGGGCTGTTTCTCTAGCTATTGTTTTTCCTCTGGGTTCCTTCCCACCCACATCACCTACCCCACCCTTATTCCTTAAATTTCAAATGATTTCAGTTCCTTCAAAAATATTTTTATTATTTCTGAGCATGGTGGCCCATACCATCATTCCCAGCAGTCAGAAGGCAGAGGCAGGTGGATCTCTGTGAGTCCAAGGCCAGCCTGGTCTACACAGTGAGTTCCAGGATAGCCAAGGCTGCTTAGAGAGACCCTGTCTCAAGGGGGAAAAAAAATCTGTTTTTTTTTTCTTTTTTCTCTATTGATAGCTGGAGATATGGTTCAGTGCCTCTAGTGACAAGGCCTTTACCACCATACACAGGTCTAACATAGAGAAGCCACAGTCTACATGGGGAGATGGACATGTAAACTCATGGCTGGGGTCCATCTGACAGTTGTTGGGAACAGCAAGAAGAGAGTTTGTGTAGAGATTAGCACCTGATTGGATTAAATGACGAAGGCTTCACAGGAGATGCTGTGGAGTTGATTTTAATGTAATTTCCAGGTACCCATGGAATCTTTATGGCTCCTGTTGTCCCATCAAGGCATACTCCTCTTTGGAGGGACAGCCTTGTTGTGGGGGTTTATAAAACAAGGCAAGACAGAGCTTCCTTGGGGTGGGGATGTTTACACATCCTGCCAGGGAGGTCTAGCTGAGGCTTGAGTGAAAGAAAACACAGTGGATCTTGGGCCAGTGCACCTGGGCCTTGCCCATGTTAGACAGTGCTTGTCCAGTGCTGGGCCCTGGAAGGAGGCAGGAAAGGGTTGGAGAGGGTCAGACCCAGAAAGGGGAGGCCCTCTGGCATGGGTCGGGGGTGGAGGCTGGGAGGCACATGTTGTGAAGGAGACCTCTCACAGCAAGGAACTGGCTGAAGCCCTGGTGTACCAGGAGCGTGAGCAGACAGCGCTGATGGCCTTTCTGCATGGGAAAGAAGAGAAGGAAGCCGAGGCACTAGCCAGGCTGCGCCAGATGGCCCCCATCTCCCCATGGCCCAAAGAGCATTCCATGGATGACATTGAGAAGACCTGGAACCAATGGGTCAAGGACAAGCAGGTGGGGAGAGTTGGAGGAGGGTAGGAGGCCCAGCTTCTGGCTACTGTTCTCACCTGTGACTCTTTGCAGGTAAGCAAAATCGTGGGAGCAGCTTACAAGCCCAAGGAGCATGTGCGGAACCCCAAACTCCTATCCACCAGAGTGCATTATAGCTGGATGAGGCAGCAGGTGAGGGAATGAGTCTGAATTTGAGATTTTGGGGCCATCTGAGGCCAGTAGACCCCATGGTCTGTCTGTGTTCTCTGTTTCTGGCATAAACTGGCCAGGCTGGCATAGTCTCCATCAGCAGAAGCCTTGTCTCTGGGAACACAGGCCCTGAACTTATGGAGGGGTGGCCCTCCTCTGGCCTTTCCTGTCTGTAGCCCCCAGGGCACCGTTATAGTCTTTGAGTACTCATTAGAAGATTAACTGTCCCTGTACTCATGAGTGTAGGTGGTCAAGAGTAGATGTGAGGTGAGTGGGTACCCAGTGCACAAGAGGGGGATACACGGAGTGGGTGGCTCTCCTTAGGCGTAGAAAGGGGAATCAGGGACTTAAAAAAGCCAGTCAGACTCCATCCTGTCTCTTGCCTGGCCCTGAGGTATATCCAGGAACTTTCTGTACCAGGCCACACAAGGTCCACCTCAGGCTTCAAACAGAAGAGTTCTGGAGCCAGGCTCACCTCACAGACAAGTGTGGGGAGGAAAAAGTGAGAAGGTGGGGCCTGCTCAGGGCTTGTGGGCTTCACAGCTGTGGTCTTCTGGAGCAGTCACAGTGCTGGAGATTTACTTGGCGTGGGAAGGACCTGAGGGCTCTCCCTTGCTGCAAGCTTGTTCTTGGTCCCTGGTACCACCAGCTCCAGCAGGCGCTTACCTCCTGTTCTGTTCCTAGATCTCCCCTCAGATCTACCAAAGCTTGTGTTTCTCCGACCTGAAGCAAGTCAACCATCCTGACTTCCTGATGCATAAGGTCCTGGACCAGCAGGGCCGGCACATCCGCTGGGTGGCTAGTGATATCCGGAGTGAGCTGGAGTCAATCCGGGCTCAGATCTTAATGGACATGGTAGCCAGCAGCACAACTGCTGCCTCGCCTTCCTCCCTGTCCATGCTTTCCCTGGGGGCATCAGCCTCCAGGGTTGTGGACCCCAGCTGCCCCACCTCCGTGAGGCCCCATTCCTCAGTCTCCTTGCTGAGGCCCTGGTCAGCCTCTCCAGCACACTCTAGCTCTTCTACGTCACCCCAGACTTTGAGTCAGCCCCGCAGAGGTCAGAGACAGTCAGGCCAGGTGCTTCCTGCCTCATGTGGCATCCGGAAACCGGGGGGCCCGTCCTCATGTCCTCTGTGACGTGGGGCTGCCACCTCATGTTTCGAGTTGTCCATTTTTTTCCTCTGTTCTGTAGCAGGGGACCCACAGGGTCTTACATGTCCCTGGCTCACTCCCTGCCAAGCCCAGGGGATGTAGCCCTTTCCTCAGAAGCCCCCACACTGCCTCTCTCTGGATAAGTCCAGTTATCTGTTGGCTCTGCACAATTCTGGAGAAGAAAATAAATATTCTTCTGTGTTTGAGTCCTACAGGTGACAAAGACTGGGCTTCATTTCTCACTTGCTGAGGGCCCTCCTATGCCCAGACAGGTCATAATGCCTGGCAAGGCCTTAGGCAGACACAAAGGGATCCCAGGATCCCCGGATGCTTTGGCTACCATGCAGCAGGCCACCCCACCAGGGCTTTGTGTGGCATGGCAGGTAGATCATATGGTAGGGATGCTGGATGGCTTGGCAGCCTGATTCAGCCTCTCAGAAGTCATTCTATGCTGACAGTGTCTGCTTGTCCCTTGTCCCTGCTGTCTGTCCTCCTTGGCTGCCAGGCAGTTCAGCCCCAGCCAAAGTGTTTGGAAGCTGCCCTGTGCCTTGTATCAAGGATATCTGAATATGTAGCAGATGGCCCCTTCTCTGGACTTGGAGGACCCTTCTTGGTCAGAAGCACCTGTCCCAACTTCTGCCTGGCCTCTGTCTCTCTCAGAAGGTCAACTCTGGGGCATGTGTGGACTTCTATTTAGAGGCCATGAAGCATGAGGTCCCACCAGCTTGAACAGGGGACCTCTCAGGAGCATGTCTTGTGGCTCTGGGCAGAGTCCTCAGGCTGTGGATGTGGCAACAGGTTACCTCCCAATAGCCCCAAGCATCAGGGCTAGCAGAGCTGAGGCCTTCTTTGGAGTCAGAAAGGGGCAGTGGGCTCGAGGCTTAGCAGTGGCAGTCAGAGTGGTCCTTCAATGGCTGTCTCACACTAGGAGAGTTCCTGGAGAGCCAGCCACTGGCTCGAAATTCAGGTTAGAAGCCTAGAAAAGCTGGTTCTAATGTCAGTGCAGGAGTCAGTCAGCAGCAACAAACAGGATAAATTACCTCAGTTTAAGAGGGAAGAGTGAATTTTTTTTCTTATCTCTCTTTTGATCTGGGTCACTATCTAAAGGTACCACTCATTTTTTGGGGTGTGTCTCCCCACGTCAATTAAGGCAATCAAGACAGTTCCTTACAGATGCACCCGTGGGGTAACCTAATGTAGACAATTACTCAATTGGGGCTCCCTGCTCAGGTAATTCTACATGTGACAAATTGACATTTAAAACTAATGATCACAGCCTAATCCCTTATCAAGCTGACACAGAAACACATCACTTTAAAAACCACAACCTTCCATGCCTTGTCCCAAAGTCTTATGTTTGTTTTATAATTATGTAAGATATAGTCTAACTCTTAAAAATTACTTATTTTATGTAGATGGGTGTTTCACATGCATGTATTCTTCTGTGCACCATGTGTGTGCAGTGCCTACAGAAATCAGAACAGGGTGTCAGATGCCTCAGGGCTGGAGCTACAGACAGTTGTGAACCACCATGTGGATGCTGGGAATCAAACCTAGGTCCTCTGGAAGACAATCAGTGTTCTTAACTACAGAGGCACCTATCTCTCCATCCCCAAATATAGTTTAACTTTAAAAGGTCCCCAAAATCTTTTTAAAATCCCAATACTTTAAAAGTTCCAAATCTCTTGACTTTAACCTCCTATGACTATAAAAACCAAATTACATTTTTCCAACATGTTATGTGTTGCATGAATTCTAATTGGTCTTAATAATAAAAACCTGGAGTCAGATATCGGGGTAAATGCTGAAAGATCAGAGAGACAAAGGAGTGAGCCACAGCCACACCTAACCTTGCCAACTTCCAGCAGAAAAGAAAGCAAGCTCCACTCTCCTCCTGCCTTAGATTCCTCTCTCCACCAATCCATATCACTTCCTATTTGTCTCCACAGACCCCTAGACCTCTACAGTTAATTAAGCTTTGTCCTCTGATCTTCAGACAAGCTTTATTTGTTAGAGTACAAACAAGGTATCACCACAATTATGTTACCAAGTAAACATTCTTTATTCCAAAAGAGAAAAAAAGTCATAGCAAATGAACAAACACATCAAAGCAAAAGCAAAATCCAGCATGGAAAAGACCAAATCTTGTAACTCCAATGACCAACAACTGGAGCTTGGACTATTAATATTTTAGGTTCCAAAGATCTTGGCTTCTAAATCCCTTGACCAATGCTTAATATTTTAGCATCCCATAACTTAAATATGATCATATAGTTTTACAGCACAACCACTGATATCTCAATCAATATCACATGATAAAGAAATAGAAGAAAATACAACCATCTACTGAATATATGCATAAGGATATTCTCAACAGATAGAAAAACACTCATGTCAATTGTAATCATTCCTGTAGCTGGTCATATGATCTTAGCTGGTGTTTATGTCTCTATCTTCTGCTACCTATTATGTATTTCCTCCACTCTCAGTAAGCACTGCAGTAGGTCTTGGTTCTTTACTTGGGAAGGTTACTCATATCTTCATTCCTCAGAGGTCTAGGCCAGTGGTTCTCAACCTGTGGGTTGTGACTCTTTGGAGGGGGGAGTGGAATGACTCTTTCACATGGGGTGCCTAAGACCACGGGAAAAACAGATATTTACATTATGATTTACATCAGAGAAAATTATAGTTAAGAAGTAGTAACAAAAGTAGTGGTGGTGGTGGTGGTGGTGGTGGGGGTCACCACAACATGAGGATCTGTATTAAAGGATTAGAGCATCAGTAAGATCGAGAACCACCGTTCTAGGACATTTGTCATTTTCCCTGAATTGGGTTGTTGTAGTTTTTCACTGACCTTAATCATATTTCTTACACCCAAGCTACACTTTTCTTGATCAGTCACACCTCTTGACACCATTGACCTGAGGGCGTTATAAGCCCAAAGTGCCCAGGAGGAGATCTTAGCTCTCCCTTCAAAGGGATCTTTTTTTATGCTTCCTGATGGAATCATTGTGTACAGGAAAGGCAAACCCATATCCATAGTAGGAGTCTATTCCAGTAAGGACAAAAGTGCTGCCCTTTCCACGATGGAAATGGTCCAGTGTAGTCCACCTGCCACCAGGCCGCTGGCTACTTCCTTTTCACAATTCTGGACAAAGTAAGTAAGGAAAAGGAAATGAGTTCAGTGATAAAATTGACCAACTCCAAATGAACATAAATAATCTTAATGGTTTAATCTAAATATTTTCACACGTGCCTTTGAAGAGTCATCTTTCCAGAAGCTATAGATCTCAAGTTCAGAAAACTGAACCCAAGTCCTCATCACATGATATATGGTTGGCTGACTTACAATGCAATTAGTTCATCAGCATCAGGGATGTTTGCAGTTAAAATGTTTGGAAAAGAATGGGATCCTATAGCCTGGATAGGATTGTGGGAGGATTCTATGGAGGCTGAAGGTGGTCTGATGTGTTCACTCTGCTGAGTGAAATACCCTCCCTACTCTTAGCAGAGGATGCATTCCCACCCCCGCCCCATTCCTACCTCCTGCAGTATTGCCCTTGCCTGAGAGAATTAATCCTTTGTGTCTAGACTTTCCCTGAAGGAGACATCAGACAAGTCAAGTGTACATCCCTCAGGGTCTACCCATCATTGCCTGTAGGCCAATGAGCAGACTTAAGACTAAGTGAGCCCCAAAGATGAGATAGAAAGTATGGACCAGGAGGAGGTGGACTACATCACACTTCTGCTTCCACAATTTGTATTAGAGTTCTCTAGAAGAACAAAACCAACACACACACACACACACACACACACACACACACACACACACACACACACACACGCATATACATACATTTAAAAAGATTAAATCAGCTTATGCAATAGTCAAAATAGTAAACAACAGCTGTCTCACATCTGAAAGGCCAAGAGCCCAGTGGTTGCTCAGTCCATGAGGTTAAGTGTCTCAGCAGTCCCACTGTCACCAAAGGTCTTGAGTGTTCCCGAAGAGCCACTGTTCCTCAGTCCCTATTGGAAGCTGGTTAGGGAAACTGCTTCTAATATCAGCAAAGGAACCTGCAGTGGCAGCAATGGGGTGAATTAACTTGCTGGCAAGAGGGAGGCCAAGTGAGCAAATAGAGAATGATCTTCCTTTTCTGTCTTGTGATGGTTTGAATGGCCTCCATAGGTGCACCTGTTTGAATGCGCGGCTCTAGCTAGTGGAACTGCTTGGGAAGAATTAGGAGGTGTAGCCTGATTGGAGAAGGCGTGTCACAAGGGATGGGCTTTGAGGTTTCAAAATCCCAGGCCAGGCCCTCTGCCTTTTGCCTGCTGATCAGGATGTAAAGCTCCCAGCTTACTGCCCGAGTGCCACATCTTTCTGCTTCCCACCATGATGATAATGGACTAAACCTCTGAACTGTAAGCAAGCCTCCTGATTAAATGCCTTCTTATATAAGAGTTGCCTTGATCATGGTGTCTCTTCACAGCAATAGAACAGTGACTAAGACACCTCCCTTTTTAAAATCTGCGCTGCTAAGGGAAGGTGTTACCACATTTAAGGTGTGACAAGACGGTTCCCCACAGGTTGTAGAAAATTTCTCAACTGAGACTCCCTAATGAGGTGATTCTAAATTGTGGCAAGCTGACATTTAGAACCAACCATCATGGGAGGTGAACAAGATCTCCCTCTGGGGTCCAGATCAGGTCTCTTCTGTGGGTCACAGAGGTCCATGGCTACTGCTCCTTGAGTCCCAGCATTCTTCATCTGCCCTGTCAGAGATACTGAGAAGCAGGCATGGTTAGACTCAGGAGTGGATGGTTCTGACCCAGGCCTATGGATCTTGGTCCCTCCTGGATCCTCTGCAGAGAGCCTAACCTCTGTTTTTGCTCACACTGAGCCTCCCACTTAATATCTGGGCTGGGTTGGGGAGTCTGGATGGGCTTCTGGTAGGCTTCCCATGGTGGGCTTTTCCTGGCCCTGGTCAGGGTATGGCTCTGAGCCCCTTCCCACCCTGCTCTCTTGCAGCTAGGAAGAAGCAATAGCCTTAGCCTGCAGTTACAGTAATAGTCCTTACCATGAAACAATTCTAAGGTGTAGGTTCTGATATTATCCCAGTCTACCAGATAATGAGATCAAGGCACAGAGAGGTTGAGAGTCTGGCCCCAGGGTCACATAGCTGATTCTGGGTAA